TATATATATATATATATATATATATATATATATATATATATATATATATATATATATATTTATATATACATATACATACATACCCGTAGCCGAGTTAACGTCCAAATATATATATAATTTGAAAAGCGAAAACCAAAAGCGGTGCACTTACCTTTATCTTTTTTAAAAAGTTCAAAACAATTGATGAAGTCAAATATTATTAAACATATTAGCCGTACGAATGAATGAAAAGCCGAGCTTTCAGGCTTTGGAACGATTTTGAGACGGAGTTTGAAATAGTTAATTATGGAAAAGTGATAAATAGTCAGTGCGCTGACTGTTACCTGCGGGCTCTCGGTTTACGACTTGAAGAAACAAATTAAATCCCATAGCGATCGATCCACTCGATTTTTCTCCACGTGATCCCCGAGGATGTTTGCAATTTTTGATGGTATGGCAGAATCGTAAATCATAACAATCAAATTATACTCGGCAGTTTCAAAATATCAAGTCTCATCTTTCTTTCAATTGCGATTCGGAGCTCCAAGATCGCAGATAGACCAGCGCGGCTGTCTCTCAGTACGTCGTAGTCTCGTCACCTACGATGGGCTATGGAATTTGGCTTTGCTGAATCTGTGGCTAGCCAGCTAGCTATTGGGCCGCTCGGTAGATTACCCCTCACTCATTTACAAAGAGATGTTCTGAGGGAGCAGGAGAAGGGGACATCGGAGGGGGAGGGGGGCGGCAGTGAACACCGGCATTCAAAAAATTTACGTCCCATGCTAGCGGAGGAGAACTCAGCGAGCTTTCTGCATGGTGGTCCTTGGAAGAAAAAAATCGGAAACTTCGGTAATCGGGGTCGATGAAACACTGGCATTCAGGCCTGGCCCGTCCGTCCGATCGGTCACAGATAACTGAGCCCGGGAGAAAGCGAAGAGTAGATCTGGTGGCCGCATGTAGTCAGGTATCCACTTGATTGATAGGCCCTTGCCAGCCGAGCTGTTGTAGACTGTGTTTGTTTACTTCGAAAATTCATGATAGCCCCCACTCGTACGAATCAGACGCAAAGCTTTCTGCCTCCCAGCGCGCCACAGTAAGTAGAATTGATTTCTCCCCGAACCAGATCCGATATGAGGAAATGCTGAAAAAACTGATTGATTGATATCAAATGAGGCAAATCATTCCTAACCATCTCTTTGTTGATTTAAAATACAGTTCTTTATTGGATAAATTCACTCAATCGATCGATCAAACGCTCAATTACGACTTTCGAGAAACACAAAAACAAGACGAGCTCGGCTGTAGGACAGAGGCCTCGATACCGTTATCTTTTCCAAATTTGAACGAGCTGCGAGCAAGAATAAGGAAGAATTTCGAGGAGAGTGGTGTAGTGGTGGAAGTTGGATCATGCTCCCAGCTCCCCAAATGCGGCTTCTTTGGAGCAAGCGTTATTGGCTGCGCTGAAAAAGGAGAGCAGAGAGCAAAGAGCAGGAGTAACATACCACCAAGCAAACTATGGATACATACAATACAGCCTTTGCTGATATTGGAATGAGAGGGAGGGGGAGGGAGACGCAAAGGGATGATCCACACGTGCGTGCTGAACTGAGGAAGTGAATCCAAGAAAGGCGGAGGCGAAGACGGGAAGCGAGCGAGGAGAAGATGGGAAGCGAGCGAGGAGACTTCTGTGCTTCATTCATGTTTCTTTTGCTTTGGGCACGATCGCGATGGCTGCGCATGCGACTGTGGCGATTCTGATCGTTGTGGTAGTGGTGGTTATTGAGTCAGTAAGAGAGAGGATGAAGGATGCGATGGGATGCGCCAGAGTGGACGCGACGGGATGCGCTCGAGTGCTGAAGACTACGATACAAGGGAAATCTATCCACAAAGAGTGGAAGCAGGGGATAGGCAAGATATGCCTTGAGAGGTGTGATATCTAATCGGTTATTGAATTCCAGACTCGCCTGGACCAGAGCCAATGAGATTGTAGCGACTCTGATCCTCGTGGTGGTAGTCATTGAGTCAGTGTGAAAATGAAGGACGGATGGGATGCGCTAGAGTGCCAAAGACTACGATACAAGAGAATCAATTCATAAAGGGTCAGAAGGAATAGGCAAGAGTTGCCCGAGACAAGTGATAAGTACTTGGATGTTGATTTCCGGACTCGCCTAGACCAGGCCGATTGCGACTCTCACGATTCCGAGTGTCGTGATAGTAGTCATTGAGTCAGTTAGTATGAAGATGGAGGACGGATGGGATGCGCTAGAATGCCGAAGAATACGATACAACGGAAATCTCTCTACAAAGAGTGGAAGGAAGGAATAGGCAAGACATGCCTTGAGAAGTGTGATATGTAATCGGTTATTGAAATCCAGACTCGCCTGGACCAGGGCGAACATGACTGGCGATTCCCGATCGTGGGGAATGATGGCGTGAAGATGAAAGACGCGATGGAATGCGCTAGAGTGCTGAAGTCTAGGACACAAGAGAATCCATCCACAAAGAGCAGAAGGAAGGAATAGGCAGAGTGGAAAGAAAGAATAGGCAAGACTTGTCGGAGAAGAGTGACAGGTAACCGGCTATCAATATCCAGAATCGCCTAGACCAGGGCGAAGAAGCTTACATTCTTAGCGAGACGGGTAGAGCACAAGTGGAAGATCTCCCCCCATGCCTCCCCCCACAAAAACCTTGATTAAAGGTAGAACAAGATTTCGTGACTCGAACCTCTTTATTCAGATTTCAGACTGAATCAAGCACTGACTCTGACTTTCAAAAAAGTATACGGGGTAGATTAAAGTCGCACATCCGAAAGCATCATCGAACGACACCTGCATATTTTGTCCCCCCAAGCGAAAAAAAAAAAAGCCCCCTCCGCGTCTAGCGTCTATTCTTGCGCTTACCGGTTTTCTGATGTTTTCTATCGATCGCGCTCGCCTTGTGATCGATCTGACCTGATAATATAAACAAACTGGTAGTGCAACGGTTCCTGCTGAGCGGCTTTATTTGGTTTCATGTTAGGCCGGTCTGGGTCGCTAGCCGATCTGGTGGCGTTTGCTTCGGTTCGGAATAGACGAGCTCTCGATGGCCAGACCTGGGACGACAGGAAAAATTTTCAGCTCGGAGGGCCGTGTTCTGATAGAGAAAGATTGCATACTGTTTGGGAAAGACATGTGTACCAGGCAACACCTTCTTATTATCTATTCGTTGACGTAGTGGTCAGATTTCATTGGATGATGGCGACACTTGCGCCTGAACTTTTCGTCCGAGGTGTTTGTAGACACCTTCTCATCATCTATTCGTTGACGTACTGGTCAGATGTCATTGGATGATGGCTACAGTTGCGTTTGAACTTTTCGTCCGAGGTGTTTGTAGACATTGTAACTAGTAATTTTTCAGGAGCATAGCCGAAAGATCAGACTATATATCAAGAAGGTTTTCCAGCTCGGAGACTTGAATCTCCATTCTTTAGCAAGCTTCATCTTCATTCATTCTTGCCAAAGACACCCGCTTCCAACCACTACATTCCCAGCTCCCAAGCTCTTACACTCTACAAGATGAAGACCGACTTTTTCACCGTTTCCCTACTTGCTGGGCTCGTAGCGGCAGGCCCAATCGCCATCCGACAACTTGGCGGCGGAAATTCAGTTAGCATTAACGCTAAGGAGTATTCCACTGGAGGGTGCAAGCCCATCATATTCTTCTTTGCACGAGGATCCGCGGAGATTGGAACCATGGTGAGTAGCCTCCCTTCTCATCGTTTTCATTGATTAACAGCAAGTTTCAGGGAAGCATTGGGCCTCCAACTGGCCAGGGCCTGAAGTCGGCTTTTGGAGCGGGCAACGTCGCGGTAGAGGGCATCAGCTATGCTGCTGCGCTGGGAACCAATGCCATCCCTGGCGGAGCTGATCCAGCCGGAATCACCGCCATGAAAAATCTACTCAACGGCGCAGCTTCGAAGTGCCCGACTTCCATCCTTGTGGCCGGTGGCTATAGGTACGCCGTTCTTTTCTGCCTGTCGGGAGATTTGTTTACACATTACTAATCATCCATGCAGTCAGGGAGCAGCTCTAACTCACCGAGCTATCGAGAACCTCTCGGAAGACGTCAAAGCGCGGATTGCTGGCGTCGTCACCTTCGGCGACTCACAAAATAAGCAGGCAAGTACATGTCCAAAATTCAACATCGCACAGGATGCTAATTTTTTCGGAACAGGACAATGGACAGATCCCGAACTTTCCCAAGGACAAGCTTCTCATCATTTGCAACTCCGGTGATGCGATTTGTCAAGGTATCCTGTCGATTCTGCCCGCGCACTTGGACTATGTTCGAAAAGCCCCAGAGGCTGTCACCTTCTTGACCGGCAAGATCAAGGCTGCTCAGGGCTCAGGCGCCGTATCAGACGTAAAAGGAGGCGCCGTACCAGGCGTAGACGCAGGAGAAGACGGAAAAGAAGACGCAGGAGAAGACAGAAAAGGAGACGCAGGAGAAGACGGAAAAGAAGACGCAGGAGAAGACGGAAAAGGAGACGCAGGAGAAGACCGAAAAGAAGACGCAGGAGAAGACGGAAAAGGAGACGCAGCAGAAAGCTCAAAAGGCTGGCCAAGCTTTCTATCTTTTCTCAACAATTAGAGCGGGGTGTGGAGAGGCCCATAACTACAAGGAGGATGGGCTGGACGAAACTTGGGAGCTTCTCTTCTCTTCATTCTTTGCGTTGCTGTTACAGCAACATTTTTTGGGTTACCGATTAGCTTCTCTCAACAAGAAGCATTGCTTAGAATGAAGTGTTTTTCTCGAGCCGTCCCATCTCTGATTTGAACTGATTCGCCTTGAGAAGTTGAGAGTGAGTGATGATGTTCCGGATCCGATTATCAAAGATTCTTGTTGAGTGCCATCACTGGTACCAAGCAGGTCAATAAGATTTCAGTGTCGTCGACAAACCAAAGGAAGGTTTCGAAGAAGAATGATGTTACGTTGTCGCGAGAAGATCGGAGTGATGATCTGAAAAGTGGGGGGTTGTTCCCTCGAATCGAGATGCTCGCTTGCGTTCGTTTAAACGTTGAAACCGTTCTAGGCCCATAAAATGCCTGGGCACCAGAGTCATGCCGTGTGGATCTTTAAGCGAATATGACTCTGTGAAGATGATCAGATGATCAGACGATCAGATGATCATTGAATCAGATCATCGACCAGATCCAGATCCAGATCCTGCAAGTAGTACTGAGACATATGCATGCCAAGCTTCCCAACGCTCGTGATTAAATTCCCCGAAGTTCGAAGACGAGAAAATGTCTCGCAAGCTCGCATCCGGCCAGATTGGCTCACGGCTGTGGGTTCACGGGGCATTCCGACGACGAAATGATTGAGATCCTTCAATTTACAATGGCGGAATCACGGCAAAGTTGTTGATACCGTCTGGCTCCAAAGTTTTGTCATCAACAAGGCTTTTTAGGGGCGAGGGACTGGCTGTTTAGTGCCACCGACAACTTTTGTCGTCCAATTAAGCTCATTTCATTGCTCTCATGCATCTATCTATTCACGCTCGTACTGCACTTAGCGAGCGAAGAGGGAAATGGAGGAAAAAGAGGAGCGTGAAATAGTTCTGATTCCCGCTAACTTGTATATGCCTGGGGCATAGCGCTGACTTTTAACCGGGTCGCGTAAAGCCCTGCATTTGTATGGAAAGAAACAACCTTTGGCTATCCGAGATCAAAGCTAGCCAGTGAAGCTGTCCCCCCAGAAGCAGATGTGGGAAAAAGTTCCGAAGTGCTTGGAGCTTATAAGTCGTTTAGTGTGAACGAGGAAGCTACAAGTGGCTCGGTGTGAACAAAAAAGCTGGATATAATCGCGAGACGAAGTTTGAATACCTTTGCTTAAACAGCTGGATATAAGGCTCTCAATAAAACCTAATCCAAAATATCCCTACGAGAAAAATGGAAAAGATCGCCGAATGCAAAGCTGTCTCGTAATGTAAGCTTAAAATATCAAACAACGATCGAACAATCTTGATCTCAGCTACCGAAAAGGCCCCGAGGTAAGGGATTGCAAGTCTCGAAACAGAGGAAATTGTATTTTCAAGATCAAACAACTATTGTTGTATCTTGATCTCTATAATACCGAAGTGGCCCCGAATAGAGCAGGGAGTTGCTAGTCCTACGAGGGGGAGGAGAGTTATAGGGCGGACTTACATTCAAAATCACTTACATTTAAAACCACTCAATTCGCATACAAAAACTTTTGATAGAAGTTGCAAGGGAGCGATTGCAGGTACCTGGAGGGAGGGATTGGATATTCCTTCAAGGGGAGAAATTGTGCTTTCAAGATAAAAAAGACTAGTGTTATATGAGATTCGCTAGAACCTTGCTCTACGTTCGTTCATTCTTGAATGGAAGCATTCATCTAAATCATGTCTGTGGAGAAACACCCTTTGTGCTGTGGCCTCATATATACAGCGCAGACGAACTAATGACTCGTTAATACCCGAGACCCAAAAGCTATGTTGAGTTTCCATCGCTTATATCACCGGAAAATTTTCAACCTATGAGGAGCTGGGGATTAATATTCGATAGACCTTCACATCCACCTTCTGTTGATTCCCAAGTGCGAGTGGACCTGGGGAGCTATCAAGCAATGGGTTTTGCCTATACCCCTGCCCAGATACAGCCTGCTCAGCAATCCTGCCTTACTCAAGAGACCAAAAGCTTTCACCGTGGTTCAGATCGCCCTGTGTCCAACCGCTGCTGTCACTGCCACCCAGCCAGCGATCGATCGATAGCAACCCAGCCGTATCCCCAAAGCCCTCCACTGACGCTCCTGCGCCATCATCACCCAAGTCTCCGTCGCTCTTCCGCCATCCGGAAAACCCTGCCCAGCCAACCGTGGCATCAGCTAGCAACATCATCCACGTGATCACCGCCGTCTCCCGGCTTCGATGGTGCAGCGCACCCACCGTTTCGTATCCCGTCCAGCTCGAAAGACGTATATCTTCGAACGCTTTTCATCACTCTAATGAAACGGACTTTATAACATCCAAAGAATATTGCAATTTTTTCATGAAAATTTTGGAATACACACTTTCTCGCCCTTGGGGGGATACGATCGTATTCTGCTTCTGGAAGCAGCCTTACATACTTCCAGAATTACAACCCCAATCCTACCGGTCCATGTTTCCTTTTTGCTGATTCCGTTCCGCGAGTGGAACAGTACTTCTGGTATTATTAAGGATGTTGCAACAGAATACTCTAGGTAATTTTCTGCCATCTGCGAAAAAAAAAAAAAACTCGAGCTGAGATCACGAGGAATAATATACACCCAGCCGCTCAGTGCGGTATATAGCTGCTCCTTAACAGATGAGATTATGCTCAACACTTGTCTTGAGATGGACTAGATATTGTCCTCTCAGCCAGTTTGCGAAAATGTCTTTCAAAGCGGACTGGATAAAGACAAGAAGGCTGCCGTACCAACGCACATCGCACGCACGCAAAAGTGGTCATTTGCGGGTACCTTATCGTGCTTAGCACAGACCAGGCACCTACATATTCCAAGGAGGTGCGATCTACCGTAGTGCTTGGGAGGGGGTCGCGATTAAACCATTCCCTACTGACGCCGAGGACTAAAGAATTGCGCCGCCAAGCAAAATCGAGCTCGCTTAAACCAAAACAACCAAAAGCACGAAAAAAAAAAAGCACGAAAAAAAGAAAGGAAGAAAAAAAAAGGGCAAAAAATCTCCCAGAAACCCGCATCGTGCGAGGTTCTGGGATACAAACGTGATTGAACCCGTTTTTCGACTATTCAGAACCCCCTTGGTCGCACGAAAGCGAAGACCCAGATATTCGAGATCGGAGTAGGCTGACGATGAACCACTAGACCAGCTAGACGGAGCTTCTGAATATGCTTAGGGCTCGTGTCTGGGGCTATATATACCCCCCAAAATAATTTTTTTTTGCCCGCATCGGCTTCCGGACATATATACGGAGGAAAGCAAGCCCAGCATAAACAAACAACATGCAAACAACTCTGTTCCAGAGAGATCTTGCGCCCCCTTTTTTTTTTTTTTAAAAAAAAAAAAAAAAAAAAAAAGAAGAAGAGCAGACACAGAAAGGCACAGGATTTTTACTTGACGCGGGATTACATTTTCGCAAGTCATTAACACAGAAGGGAACGTCAACGTGGAATCAGAATATCTCA